AACAGGATTGAACCCTGAGGAGCTGGCTTCTTGTCTTGACGGTGTGTGGTGGGGAGTGGGGGAGCTGCCCAGAGCAGAGGATGCTTGGAGGCAGCATCCTCTGGAGAGTGCAGTTGGGGGAAAACGTTGTAACACCTATTTTTAGTCTTTTCCTCATGGGCACCACAGCAAGATCATTGTGCCATGCTTCCTGCAGACACTTTGAGGAGCGGCCCAGCTGGTGTCCCTGGACGGCACCAACTCCCTGCTGGGGTGAGAAGCTGATGAAAACCAACACGCCACCGGCCTGCCACTGAACCACTGAATGCACTCCTGGCTCCGTTACCTCCCTCCACCACACTCCCTCCGCACACTCCCTAAAGCCTGAGGTGTTTCTCTGTGTGTGAAACCCTGCTTGCAAATGTTGTCTGGCCAGCTGGCAGCACTGGGAGCGATCAAGTATGGTTCCCCGAGCTGAGCCTCTGCTTTTGGGCCGCCCTGCCTCCTTTGCTTCTTCATTAGAACCAAAGAATACCCTGCCTGCCCTAAGCCCCAATAATTTGTATAAGATGGGGGAGTGGATAACCCCAGGGAAAGATGAGTTCACAGACCAAACTAACTAAGCGCCTAGGAAGTTAAAGCACCTGATGAAACAAAGAAAGCAGATAATCCATGCTATCGAAGGCAGTTTGTTTTTAGAGAGAGAAAAGACAAAATGAGAATTTAAAATTTCGTGGGGTAAATGTAATTAAGGGGATGAAGGGACATGGATTTATAGGACGTCTATTTATAAGGTGGGCTTGCTGATCTTCCTCTGTGTCCACTGAGTAGGAGGGAGAGCCGTGGTGAGAGATGCTGCAGCAAAGATGGGAGACAGCCAGGGGGAGACCTGCACGGCCACTGGCCAGAAAGGCAGGAATGCATCACCCGAGCTTGTGTGGGCCATGACAATACAGCAAAAGGGAGCTGGTCGTAAGCCACCTTCTTGCTACCCTGACCAAGAGGTTTACTGTCTGGCTGGGAAAATCCCATCTCATTAATAGGAAAACGTGCCGGGTGGAGATGGGTCAGCAGCAGGGAGGGATAAAGCAGCAGGAAGGCCCCGTGCAACCCTTCCCCCCAAATGTTCACACCACCATGTCTGGAGCGGATGCTGCTTAGAGGGCATCTAAAACCAGGACAGGTGCTCAGGGGAGGTGGTGGCCCCGTTTACCTCCTCTCTTCTTCCAGAAACTAAGGACAGGCCAAGAGGAGACAGAAGAGATGAAGAAGTGAAAGAACCTTCCATGGATGCCCTCCCCCAAATCTCAAGAACACAACATTTCCAATTCTTTAGGCCAAGGAAAAGGTATTTTATCAAAATTTTAAACTGTGTTAAAAGGGGCTGTGCCTATCCTTTATACCCCCGATGACTGCTGATACTATGGAATACACGTGACCAGCTAACAGGTGTGAAAGAGGATTCAGCGGAGCAGAGGGGAAGGTAGTTTTGGGAGCAAAACTAAAGTTATTTTATGTGTGTCCTGCAAGGTTTAGAGTGTTTATTGTATGTGTCACATTTGGGGATTTCTTGCAGAATATATTTAAGAGTTTTAAAAGGTGAAAAAAAAAGTGGATTAAGTTGAACACAAAATTAGAATATGATTGAGTTCAAATTATGTGAAAATAAGGCACACACAAGAAAAGTCACCGTTGCTGAAATATTTACCGGCTCGAAGTTGGGCAGCACCACGTCTTCGTCCCCAACGACAAAGGCCACCATGCCGCAGACGTGCAAGGAGTGCCCCACCGGGGCGTACACGGTGAGGAGCAGCAGGTGTCTCCTGGAGAGAACGGACAGTGGGTGAGAACACGGGTTTTCCGTGTCGGAGTTATTGCCTCCGGGTGCTTCCTGATGGCAACGTGTGCTCCAAGCCAACAGTAGTACGCGTTCAACTCGATAACACGCGTGTGGAATAAAGACCTTTGCATTCTCACTGCACAGAACCACTAGGTATCATGGAATCTGCATTTCACTAGCAGTCAGACAAAGACAGTTACACTAAATGACAAATCTGCACCCCCTTGGAGACATCTCCCGTGCACCACAGTCCCATTGTGAAACAGTCCTCTTGATTTTGCCCTAACAACCATACTCCATGGTGGTGAAGGACTGTGCAGACCTCATGGTCTTTTTCTCACCAATACGTAATGTCACACAGATTGTCTACGTCTCTCCTAGCCGGCTGCAGTGTCCTTGAGAGAAGAGACATTCATTTGCTCTCCGTTAAGGACTAGTTGCAGCGTGTTCAAAACAGACGTGTTGACAGGGGAAGCCCAGTGGAGCAGAACATGAGTATAAGGAGATTCTGCCTCAGTCCCCTGCCCCCGGTTTTCTCCGTGAAAGAGCACTCAGAAGGGGTGGTGATTTCTGAGCGAATCTCACCCCAGCAGAGCTTTCAGGGCAGATGTGAGAAACACTGCAGTTTCAAAAGTGATAACCATAAGAAATATTAGATGCTCGCCATGGATGATTTTAGCCTTTGATTTTGTTGCTCATGTTTGTCTTTTGTATCAGAGCTATAGCCTGTCATGAATCTCATAGAATTAGCTTCATTGACCTTGGGAAATCCAGAAAAAAATATTTGTTCCATCTGAAATATGGGGTAATATATTAAACTTTATCAAAATCAAGAAAATTTTTTGATTATGTGTATTTCTCTAAAACAGAAAATGTGATGCAATTAGCCAACTTTCCCTTAATCAAAAATAAAACTACAAGTACAATTAGAAACAAACCACAGATAAAACTATAGATTGGCAGGAGAAAATGTTCTGTTTCACAATTTGTTTTAAATAAAATTATGGCTTTTGCTAAGGAATATAATGAGATTTACAGGAAAACTAAATGGAATTTTCAATAAATGAATTTTAGGTAATGCTGCATGAACAAGTTTAAACCATACATTTTCTTATGAAAGAAATGACCAAACTCTGACAAGTACGAATCTTACAAAAGGGGACGCACTGTACTGCATTTTTTTCCAATGTTTTCATTCTCATGAGTCATAATGATAGACCTGTTCTTTATCAAATTACTTTAGGGAAGAATTTCCAAGTTTCCATATTGTAAAATTATTTAGTCATTAACATCTTACAAGGCTTTAAAAAAATCCTTAATATGAGAAAGATGAAGTCACTCCATACCCAACAGGCAGGCGAACCACAGCTGCTTTGGTAGCGTAAGTGTGAATCTTCAGAACAAGATCACGTGGCTTCAGAGACTTCCAAGAAAATGTTTCAACTGTAAGTAGTCCAGGCTCTATCGGGGGGCTGTCTTTTGTTAAAGCTGGGAAAAGTGAAAAATGTTAAACTTTTATTGTGAGAATATAGCTGGCCTTTACCTCATAACATTAATAATAATAATATCAACATCAGGAAATAGAGATGCTATAAAATATTCATAAAACATTATAAATTACTCTGGGTAATTAATTATTGAAAATAATATTCAAGCGGGACCCAGATCCTTCTGTTCTATTTCCTCCTCAAATCAACCCCTCAGGTGAAGAAACCAGGAATCGGAAAGTTTGGAAAATGAGGACAGACCATTGCAGTACACCATCGCTTTTATTATCTCTGGCTGTAATTACAATATATCTCTAAATGTAATTAAAAAAAAAGATGCCACATCTGAGAAAATAAGAGATTTTCCTAAGATGGTGGCAAAGCAAGGTCAACATAGTTCATTACTTATCTAAGTTTTACTTTTGATTCTTAGCTTTGACTGTGGGTAGAAAGAGCAAATAATTAACATAAAGTTAATTTTAATATTGAGCATGTTCTCTTGAAATAAATAAACAATATTGATTATTCTTCATCCATAGCTGAGGGCAAAATACTTTCTAAATTAAAAATTATCGAGATAAAATTGGCATACAACATTGCATTAGTTTAAGGTAAACAACAAAATGATTTGATATGTGATATATTGTGAAGTGATTATCACAGTGAGTTCAGTTATATCCATTACCATACATGACTTTTTTTTTATTGTTATGAGAACTTAAAATCTCTCTTAGCAACTTTCAAGGATACAACACAGTATTTTTAACTATAGTCACCATGCTGTACATTAGACCTCCAGGACTCATGTTTTTACCCTATTTCCAGATAATACTCATGTTGAGCATATAAAGTCCTAACATGACTCAAAATAACTCTATGCACATAGAATTTAAATGTGGCAGGACACGGTATGGCTTAGGAGCATCAGTTAGGCACAAATACTAAGCCCACACCCTAAAGATTGTAAGTATACTGAACAAGTATTTATTGACCTCCTGCTACATACTAGACATCATTCAAAGAAAGCATGTGGCTGTATTTTGGTTGAAAATCATAGCTGCTGCCCTCAAAGTTGACAAGACTTTCAATATTGACAACTCAAAAAATATTTATTGAACCTCTATAGTGCCAGAGACTATTAGAGTTAGAGATAAATGCTGTAAGAAAAGAGATCAAATAAAGGAATGTTTCATGCATTCATGTACGGGTGTGCAAGGGGCTGGTCTTAGAGAGGATCAGGGACAGATGATCCATTAGAACAAGAGGGAGGGCTCACTGGGGCTGGCGAGAGTCCATTATGGGAAGATGAAGCGGGTTATTTCTGACTGTTCCTTGTCTCTGCAGTGAACACTGCAGCAAGGTCACCAGTTGAAAATGAGTGAGGATGAGAGTGGGTATTGGGCACCTGAAGGGAGAGATTTGAAGGTCTGGGGGAGTCATAGTAAGAATGACGGTGGGAGAATGAGTGAGCTGGAGAAATGTCATCAGTGCTGAGAGGGTTTTTTTGTTGTTGTGTTGTGGTGTTGGTGGTTGTTTTTTAGATCTGCAGTCCTCAGTTTAAAGTGGGGCTGGCTGATGATTATTTTCTGTGGTCACATTCAGCTGCTCTGATGCAACCATAGGTTTGGTGCAAAGTTCCACTGTAGAGCTCATTCAATCAATACTGCGATTTTGCAAGGAAAGTGAGAGGAGAAGGTTAGAACAATTGTGTTGGGATACCTGTAAGAATACAGTTACAATGGTGGGCCATGGAAAAGTATGCTGGGAATGAGAGAAATGAAGATGTGAGGAGAGTGACCGACAGAGAAGAAGTGGTAGGGTGGATGGATGGGGGCCCCAGAGAATCGTAGGAGTGAGCGTGAACTAGAGTTGAGGGGTTGTGGTGAGAGAGCTTGAAACTGGAAGAGTTGAGATGATGCAGTTACTGGTGCTATGAGTTATGAAGTATAATCATGAAAGTAGGGGACCAATGTGGGATGGAGAAAAGAGCTTCAGAATTGTCAAATTAAAGAGGAAAGAATTTGTGCTCTTCAGTAGGTTTTGAAAGACTCGGGGACGGTGGCTTGTGTAGGTGGAAAGACAAACAGAGTGACTGGGCGTGCCAGAGAGGCGACCAGATGATTGCAGGCAGAGGTGTGGGTGGCACACGTGAGTGCACACCCTGACGCCTGAGGAGCGAGAGGATCACAGGAGACGAGGTAAGTGTGACTCCCCTAGAGTCTGACGAGGAAATTAGTCACCTTCATCCAGAGCCTAAAAATCTCATTTAGTGTGTTTTCCCTGGACAGAATGAAAATGAGCTGGGCTGTAGGTCTGTAATTTCCCCAGCGCCCTCTCACCTCCGGATTCTCCCCAGCGCACCAACGCAGAAAAGCAAACCAGCAGTTCAATGGGCTTGAGACTATCCACGAATAGATAGTAGGACACACGCTCATCTGAGAACTGCAAGAAATCAGAGCAACCACTGAGCTTAGTATCCATCCACGAATGCTGTATTCCCCACTTCTCATCATAATACAACACTTACCACATACAGGGAACTTCCTGTGTCCCAGACTCCAAAATTAAGCCCTTTGCAGGTTTCGTGATATGAAGGCAATCATACTGAGTGCATGTTGGCTGGGTCTATAGGGCCTGCATGCGACTGGCCCCCACACCAGCAAGTGAAAGCCCATCTTTGTGAGTAAAGAAAAAGGATATTCTTGTCCCAGAAATAACAGAGAGGAGGAGCCTGGACCCCAGCTGAGAGGTGCGTGCTCAGTCTGTGGGTCCCTGACAGGCAGAGAGGCCATAGAGTAACTTCCGCAGAGAGCCGAAGTGTCCAATGCGGATGTATTAAAGTATTTTACAGAGTAGTATGTGGAATAAGCCCTCCCTCCCTTCTTTCTAGAATAGCTTCAGAGATATACCCATTGCATGCTAATGCACCAGGCTGGATTTTTGTTTCGGAGATGGAAGAAAATACTGAGCAAGACCAAAACTTCCCTAAAAGGACAGCCAGCCAGGTAGGAGTTACCTGGACACGATCTCAACCTCTCCCACATGGTACTTCCGATAGCCAGAATTATGGATGAAGAAACCGAAACACAGGGAGGGTAAGGAACTTTCCAATGGTCACAGAGCTTGCAAGCAGTAAAGCTGAGATTTAAAAGTAGGTCTTTCTTTCTACCAGACTCCAAGCCTGGGAGTCTCGATTGTTGTGCTGTTATTGCCTCTCAGATTCTCAGTGCTTCAATATAATTTTGACTGATGGGATATGGTAAGCACGTTTAATGAATTGAACTGTCACTATACTTGCAAAGCTTTTCATATTATTTTACCACAATATTTAAATAAGCAGTTAAAATAGGAAAGAAAAATCTCTAGTAATACTGCGAAGAAATGGAACTTGTAATTTAATCAAATATGACAAGATTGCTAAAGAGGCCTGATAGAATATAACAATGTTTAAATGATGGCTTCCCCCAGCATTTTGCAATACTAAGCATTTGACACTCCATTTCTTTGTTTCCGTTCAGCTCCAACACGCTGGCGATAGAGACGGTCGTTTCAAATCGTCACTGTCTAACCCTGGGAAGGACCCTGGACTGGCCAGCCCCGTGTGCTTGCCTGAGCAAGTGTTCAAAGCAGAGTTGTCATTTGCTGTCATTTTTCAGTCTGAGAATTTGGTGGCCCTGGAGACCACGTGAAAGGACTGACCTGGGGCCACACAAGGCACCTTCGAGAGCCCGTGGCCTCGCCCGCGTGGCACTGAGCACCAAGGGAACATCTGAGGCACCTGGGAGAGGCGTAGGGCTCCACCACCGGCCCCCGTTCAGCTGGCAGCGCTGTGGCCACTAAAGCCCGCAATCCTGGCCTCAGACCACGACCAAGTCTTCTTCTTAGGCCCTATTAAAGGTCGTTAAGTTTGGGTTCCAACAAACTCTATGAAAAAGTTGTCATTCTCTCACATCACTGAGATGAGACATCAAGTGGGTGGGTAGGGGGATGGGCACCAGGAAGTGATCAGGCTGTCAGAATAGAGAGAAGTCAGTCTCCGGGCAGAAACAGGTCCTTCTGAGTGCGTGCAGCCAGGGAGCTTGACCCAGGTTTTATGGTCAGGGAAGGAGGTCGGACAAGGTGAAGGGCTTCCATGCTGTTCTGTAGGACATGGAGGCATTAGTTAGATAAAGGCATTAAGAATGAAGAGGAATGGACTCCAGGCAGAGGGAATAACGTGGGTGGAAAGAACAGGAGTGCTGGTGAAAAGCGTGCTCTGTTCTAGGAACTGCACCTGCTTCAGTGGGCACTTCACTGAAATCAAATACAATGAATTTACCCGTGTGACTCTTCACTTACTTATAAATCAACGCTTTCTCACTGTGAATTTATATAACAATAAACCACTACAATCAGATGGATCATGCTTGTGGGTGAGAGGTAGCTGGATTTTACTATTATCGGGATAAGAGGTGAGCATAAAACCTTAAGAATTTACCTTAAAATATAAATACATTACAAGTTTAGAAATGCTTGATAAATTTGAAGGTTTTTTTTTACTAGCACTATTCAATCCAAGATTTAAGTATAAGAAGAGGAAGAGAATAAGGAATCATAACCATATTTACCTTGAATTCTGTTTTTTGAAAGTTAATGCAATATGAACTTGGCTTGTGGAAAATACATATATTCCTGAAAAACATTATTTGTAACAGGTTATTGTCATTATATGCAGCAGACTATTATTATATGATAAATTTATTAGATTCAATTATATGCTGTACAAGGTAAAGACAAGTGAAACTTAAAAAATAATAACTTAGAGACAAGAAAAGCAGTTGCCTGGGCCTGAGGGATGGGAAAAATAAGGAGAGGCTGGTAAAAAGGTTCAAACTTTCAGTTCTAAGATAAATAAGGTTTGAAGATCTAATATAGAACATGATGACTATAGTTGATAACTCTGAATTGTATAACTGAAATTTTCTAAGTGAGTAGAATTTAAATGTTCTCATAAAAAAAGTACATATATGATGGATATATTAATTAACTCGATGGGGGGAGTCTTTTGCAATGTATATGTATATTAATTCAAAACTATGCAGACTTTAAATATCATAAAATTTTATTGGTCAGTCATACCTTAATAAATCTGGGGGGAAATGACAATTGTATGGAATCAGTTGCCTAAAAGAGGAAAAGACGACCCCTGCTTCCATCATGATTAACAGAGACGTTTATGAAGGTGACCTAGAGCTGGCCTAAGTTTTTTATGTAAACAATCAACTCAGCCATTTTTCTCTCTAACGGTTTTGTTTGATACTACATCAACTCCAGACTAATATTGGCTTGCCTACTTTAAACAATAGCTAAAGATTCATAGCTTATATAGCTGCTATGTTAAATGTGCACACAAAAATATACACTCACTGAAAGCATACACAGAAGTCTTCAAAATCCAACCATATTTCTTTGGAAACAGTATTATTTGTGGCTGTGAACTCCTCCTGCGATCTGTCCAGCGTTGTAGTGGTCACGCTAATCAGATCTCTTTCCAAACCCAGGCCCTCAGGGGGAAGGGCGGAGTCATTCACTACAAAGTCCACGAGCTCCTCTGTGCCTGGCAGAAAGCAACCATGTCAACACACCTGTGGTATTTAACGTCAAGTTACTAAGGCATGGGAAATCACAGAGGGGGGTTCACATGTCAAGGTCTACTTTTGAGAAAACATTTACTGAGATAATTACTTAATGCTGGCCTCAAGTTTGCAGACAGAGATACATTTTCATAATCTCAAGATAATTTATTTATAACGAGTCTTTATAAACTTCTCACTCGACTTTTGTAAATTTGTGCACACATTCTTTTTTTTTAAAAAAGTATTTTATTTATTTATTTTTAGAGAGTGAGGAAGGGAAGGATAAAGAAAGGGAAAGAAACGTCAGTGTGTGGTTGCATCTTGCACGCCCCCCACTGGGGACCTGGCCTGCAACCCAGGCATGTGCCTGGACTAGGAATCAAACCAGGAACCTTTTGCTTTGCAGGCCTGAGCTCAAAGCACTGAGCTACACCAGCCAGGCTGTGCACACCTTCTTTCGATATTATGAAGTTATAACACAGATTAGCTAGTTTATGTACTTAAAATCTGCTATAGATAAACATATTCATGTGAGCGGGATGGCTCAGACAACAGAGGGAGAAATGGAAACTTGAAAGATCTATTACAGTGAATGTATTTCAGTAAGGGACTCCTTAAATGCTTCCTCACCGTCCATGATTCCATCATCTTATTTCATGTTTATCAAGTAATTCCATAAAACTCTCATAGGCTGCTTGTACCTAAACCTGCTACCCATCACTTTTTTGGGACTGGAGATTTGGCCAAGTTTTCTTTCTCTAGGAACTAAAAATGTGCAATAGTTTTAGTGCTTTGATTACAGCGTGCACGCATTAAAGCACACGGACTTCACTCATGGGACTAATCAAATTGCCTTTTATTTTGACCTTAAACTTGAACTGAACCAGTGAGATTAGCTGATTTTTCTCTCCCAGAGCAGATTAGCCTCGTTACCTCAGAGGGGACCCGGGAGAGAGGGTGCGGGGGGCCAGGAGCAGAGCTCAAGGCCACCAAGAAGCAGAGGCCCCTTTCTGCTTCTGCTTTGATGTCTATGAAAACGATAGTCATGGGAAGATTAGTAACTTACCTTTTCCTTGTATGATTTGTGAAGCAACGTTGCCCTGCAAGTTGAAAGGGGGCACGTTAAGAAACCGTTCATAAATTTAACAAAACCTTACAGTTCTAAAGCACCACAGTTTTTAAAAGTTAATACAGTCTTTTAAACATTGAAGAAACAGATTTCTGAAAATACTAAGGCATATGGTAGAACAGTGAATTTGTTCTTAACTTTAAAATTCAAAAGGTGTGAATTAAATAATGTGTTGGGGGTTTAAGTTTGATATTAAAATACAGAATACCTGAGTGTATTAAATGATTGAATTTTATAATAAAAGTTAAATTGAAACAGTAATATCCCTAAGTAGACATATAACTTGGTATGAATCACCTTCTTTTAAAAATACAGTTTCAATATAATAAGATTATGATTGGTAATTAATGGATAGAAGTTAGAATGACTGGTTTCAAATTATAAAAATAATCACTCAAAATTTTAACGGGAAAATGAAGTCAAATTCACATTTACAACTCTGTTTTCTCTAGAACACAATTAAAATAAGTATAACATTTAAAATGGTATAGATTTGTACCTATTGATGATGGGTAATATCAGCAATACTGTGGATGATGTAAAGTAGGTGGAGGTGATGATATAGTAGAGATGACTGAACCCTAAGTGCTAGTAAAAAGGGAGCCCAGGCAAACCTTAAGAACCCAGAAACAATTATCAGGTATCTGAGAAGCAGAGCCTGAGGTAGGGCTTGAAAACCCAGAGGTGGGTTGGATGTCTACCTAAGGAACAGGTAAACCCTACTTCTCTTTAATGCATTTAGCATCTATCATTCTTCTGCCTAAACAGCTGCTGGAAGTTGCTAGGAGAGGAGAAAGTGCATGAGAAAACTCCAGATCTGGGCTCACAGATGCGGTGGGAATCAGGAGAGTCTACAACACAGAGAGGACAGGAGCTAAGGGAATGTCCACATGCTGAGTCTTGGGACTCTCGGCAACGTAGTGTTGATGGCTTCAGTGACACTGATGGAGAAGTGTGTGCTAATCCCTGCGACTCTGTTCCACCCCACTAGGGAGATCAGAGGACCCGCAGCTGGAAAAAATGACCCGAGTCGAGGAAAAGCCTCAGGGAATCTGACATTTGAAGCTAATCTCGTCCCCGAATGAAGCTCACTCATTCATTCCCAATTATCCTGAATTAAAACTACCAGTTCATGAGGTCTATAAATGTTATACAGTGGCTTTCAACCAGTAGCTCTTTAGTGTCATAAATCTCTTAAATGTGTACATACAGCAAAGTGTCACCAGACAACCGAAGAAATATGTATGTATGAACATATAGATATATATGAGGGCTGTCCAAAAAGTATGCAGCCATATAGTATGAAAAATAGAGACATTTAGTAAATAATATACATGGAACACTGTACACGGGACAATGATGCCACAGTCCCCTTCAAAGTAGGCACCTTGGGACCTCACACAGTTCTCCCAATCACCATCAGCCGCCCTATCATATTTTTGTGAACCTCATGGACAGCCCAAAAACTCTTCCCTTTCAAAGGTGATTTTAATTTTGGGAAAAGCCAGAAGTCACAGGGCACCAAATCTGGGCTGCACAGGGCGCTGAGTCACCTGGGTGATTTGAGGTTTCACCAAAAAAACCGCAGGAGACGTAAAACATGAGCGGGTGCATTATTGTGATGAAGCTTTCAATCACCGGTTGCCCACAGCTGTGGCAGTTTTCATTGTATTGCGTCTTTCAGCCGACTGAGGTAGTATCCTGATTAACTGTTTGTCCTGGAGAGGCGTACTTGTGATGAACAACACCTTCCCAATCAAAAAACACAGTTAACGTGGTCTTGATCTTGCTGTGACTTTGTCGTGCCTTCCTCGGGCGTGAAGAACCAGGTGACTCCCATTGGCATGACTGGGCCTTTGTTTCTGGAACCTAGCCGTGTGTGTGCCCACGATTCACCTCTGCTTATGACCTACTTGAGGAAACCGGGTTCGTCGGTGGTGGTTTGAATCAAGTCATCAGCAACTGCAGCACCATGTTCCTTCTGCTCTGGCAGCAGAAGCCACGGAATGAGTTTTGCCACAACACGTTTCATGCCAATATCCTGCATCAAAATCTCGAATACAGTAGGTTTTGCAATCCCCAGGTCAGCTTCTTATTCTCACACTGTCAGTCACTGGTCTTGTTGATTGCCCCTCATACATGTTCAACATTCTTATGTGATCTGGAAGGCTTGTGGGGGGCCTTCCAGATCATGGATCACCTTCAACAGATTCTAGACCATATTTGAAATGTTTATACCACACTTTTATTTGTGCTGCACTCATTGCATTATCCCTGAAAGCCTTCTGAATCATCCGGATGGTTTCCACGGAGGGATGTTCAAGCTTAACACAAACAGATCCATTGCTGTACTCGCTCAGTCACTTTAAATGCAACAGCCACACAGCACACACGCTCCCTCCACAGAGTCTACCACCCCCACTGACTAGCACAGTGAAGTCGTCATTGCTCACACATGCGCATTCCAGTCCACTCTCCTTGGCTGCCAGGGTACATCCATGGCCCGCAAACTGTTCTCATTATAGTAACAATGGCTGGATGTTTTCTGGACAGACCTCGTATATTTTTGCAAAATTAGAAGTATATGGAGTTAGTTAATACCAAACTCCGAAAGGCAGGTAGGAAATACCACGCAGAAGAGAGACACACAGGGGACTTTTTGTAGGAGATAAGTAGTCGGTGTTCTAATATAGGTGATGGATACATATGTTTATTGTAATAATATTCTTTATACTGTTAAGATGCATGTCACACATCATTTTATGTATATTTCACATTTGAGGAAAAATCTACTATCATTAAGGACTGGGCCAGTGCTGAGAATA